TAGGAGGAAGGACGACGGGTACGGTACGTACCTAACTTAACTTAACCTAAACCAACTTAACTAAACTAAAACTAAACCTAACGACCACCACTACACTACTCTCTCTCTCTCTCTCTCTCTCTCTCTCTCTCTCTCTCAAGTAAACCATTATACATTTCATGCCGATCTCTTTCGAAACCAGAGTTTTTTGGTAGATCCTTTCAATTTTTCAGCTAAGGGTTTTGAGACATAGTAGGACAGGTTAGCAGTTAACCTCCTGTCGGAAGCAACGGTCAAGCTTTATCTTGAGATCTGTACATTCACCAAAGAATTTTGCCCAAGGGTGATCTATGTGACACTTCTGAAACTGTTCAATAATCTGTTACAATGCAAAGGTCCAGCTTTATGTTCACGGAAATATAACTTATGCTACCCAAAATACCAAAACTCCGGTAATTCTTTAAAAACCAGATATTGTCTAGTGGATTGCAAAAGAAACCATAAAATGCTGAACCTCAAGCACAACATTAAGGCATGAAAGGATCTCTCTTTTTATTGATATTAGGAGGGTGCGTTAATTGCACATGGTTTATGACACTATAAAATGATAAAAAATTTACATATAGTGTACATCTTACTGTGGCCATTATTAATTTTCTCTCACATTGGTTCTAGCCAATGATTCAGAACAATAGATCGCATGTGGTGATTTAAGTCGCCTCTGGAATTTTAGCAGAACTTGCACTCTCTTTCTGATAAGTAAAAAAGCAAGCAATTCAGTTAGGGAAAAACTTTGATAGGAGAGGATTAGCCTTCAATAATTCATGCAGGACAGGCTAATTCATGTTTCTAATTTTTCTTATTTAATATCAGGGATGTATTTTTGGGATTCTTTTAATATTTCTTTTAGGCCCTTATCTTTTAGGGTTTTAAGGCTAGTTTGGGAAAATAGTTAGGGTCATTATTTTCTTTTTGTTGTGGAATCATTTATTCTGTTACAAGTAAAGATATCATTATGAATTATATTTTTATTAGAAATCAATTAACTTTAGAATTAGTGCTTCTTGGAGTCTAAGTTAGGTTTAGTCCATAAATAGAAGCTGTTAGAAAGATTTTGATTCAGAGTTTGATATTTATTATGTTAGAGTCTTAGCTTCACCAAACCAGAAAGCTATGAAGCATGGCTTGTAAGATATCATTCCATCATTATTTTAAATCGTGGGCTCCATCATTCTCACCTTGGCACACGGGCTAGATGAGTGAACCAGAACCTGGGCTGGTTATGGTTGGTCCCATGATGCACAATGCCAAAGAGGGTGTACAGGTACTCCATCGAGGTTGGTCACAGCCAAGAAGGATATTGTCGATTGGCTAGGAGATGAAAGAGGCTCTTGTTATTTAGGTTGATTAAGGGCTTTTGAGGACATGGGCTTGGAAACCTCAGCAATGAAAATCCTACACAAAACGCGTGGGGCTAGTTACCTTGGATCTTCTTTTCTTTTTAATTTTGAATATGTAGTTGCCTTGGATCTGTGTGATCCTAGAGTTTTATGGGGTTTGTGCGACAGTTAGCATGCATGTGCCTAAGAGCAACACCCCCATACAAGGAGGAAACCCAAGAACTATTGTGCAAGCATTTTTGGTCTGTGCATTGGACCATAAACTAGTCCTTGGGGAAAGCAGTTGGAATATATAGCTATTTATGTACTGTGAACTTTTATGCTTTGATCAGCTTTAATGGGCCAATCATGAGCCCCTTGCACAGGAGGCATGTAGGTCATGGGTTCATTGGGATGATCGAGGTTTAGACCTCATCATGGAACGCCAAGTAGATCCGGTCCCAATGCTAGCATACTCTTCATCTTCTAGTTCCAGTGCTAGCAAACTCTTCTAGTTGCTTTTCAAGAGGTTTTCCACATGTTTCTTCTTTTTTTTTTTCTTTTTTTTTTTAATGTTATTTTCTGCATGTTTCTTGAGGAAAATAAAATGCTTTAATTTTCTATATTTAACCACCTAAATAATGTATAGTGAATTTTCCATAATAAGAAAGGATCTTTTGAAATGAAATATTTGTTTTAAATCATGGGTATTCTTAGCATTATTATTTTGTTTCATAGGAACCAATATGAAGCTGTACACACACATGGCTTACTGTGGGATGTAATTTGGTGTCCATGTGGGCCACACACCTTTGACCATTTGACCAATGTGGTCGGCACTAACCATGGAGCCACGTGACAGTCAGAAGGTTAACAGGCATGGGCCATCTATGTGTCCAAGGAGCTGCATGGAGCTCTATGCGGTTTCCTAGTGTTTCTAGATGCCAAGAATCCAGGTGGCAAGAAATATGTTGAAAATCCATCGGTGGTTGGGAATACAATCTCAGAGGGAATTCTAAATCTAATTGGAGTTTGTTATGGAATCCAATTAGAAGAGGAAGTCTCTTAGGGGCGTAATATTTAACTCCACATAGAATTGGAAGAGTATTTGGGATTAGGAAAACCCCTAGGGCTAATGGTCAAGACAAAAAAGGAGGCCCCCTGCAAGCAAGGACATTTTGCTGCCCAATGCCTTATAAACAAATCAGGGCAATTTTAAAAAAGAAGAAATTCAAAAAGAATGGGAGTTAATTCAGAAGAATTAGAAGAAGCTTTCAGCAATGACGATGACGATGTCATTTATGTCACAAACAATGAATAATATTTTATCAGTTGTAATATTCTAAGCCATAAGATGAATATAAGGTGTCCAACATTATTAAAAAAAAAAGGAAATGATGAGTCGCAATATATCAGTCATATCCTACATCATGAGGTACATGTCTTAGTTAACGTAAAAATAGTGGGCTGCCAACTTTGTAAAAGGTCGTTGTTTCAAAATGTGGACCTCCCAGTGCCTATGTGGTCCAAACGGCCTAGGCGCCTCGCCCAGGCCTAAGCAACCAAATTAGGGTCTGCACGCCCTGCCTAGGGGCGGAATGCCCCTTGTTGAGGGGAATTTTTGGATTAAAAAAAAAGTTTTAAAAGTAGATTTTAGGTTCATTTGAAACTTAAACCCCATTAGAGCCAATTTTCGAGAGAGAAACCTCGAAAAAATTAGATCTTGTAATTTTTATAGGATCGAAGGGTTTCTCAATGTTACGAGATATGGATCCAAAACATCACCCATTGAGATTAGATTTAATTTTGGAGTTTTTTTAGGCCTTGTAGAGGGTGTTCTTAAATATTTTAAGCCCTAGAAAACATCTCAAAGGTTTGTATGGAGATCGAGCAATCAAAGTAAGGGCAAAATTTTATTTTTTAAAGTGCTTGTATTATTTTGATATGCCTTCTTCAGGATCTAGTCGAAGTGGTGATCCAGGTTAGAAATATGGCTAACCCGAATCCTTTGGATAAGAATTGCATAACATGCAATTATTGTGAAAATGATACAAAAATGGTATAAACCGATTTAAGAAACATCTTGCCAGTATTAGAGGGAATGTTGCTCATTGTAAAAATGTTCCTGAAGCTATCAGAGAGGAGAATAACCAATATATGAGTTCAGTAAAACACAAACAGAAACAAAATCCTTGTCATTTGAATAGGTCTATTTCTAGTTCTACTAGAAGAGGTAATCTGGGTTTACAATTTTTGTGAAAAATATACCAATAGAGGTATTAACCAATTCAAGAAACACCTTGCTAGTATTAAAGGGAATGTTGCTTCATGTAAAAAGGTTCCTAAAGCTATTAGGAATGAGACTAGACAATATTTGAATCTCGTAGAACCAGAAAAGGAAAAAACGAGTCTTGTTCTATGGAAATATCTTCTCCAGGTTCTCCTAAAAGTGGTGATTCAGGTTGGAAGTATCATCATAAGAATACAAATGAAAAAAATCATATTAAGTGTAATTATTGTGGAAAGAATATTAATAGGGGTATTTACTGGATCAAAAAACACATTGTCGGTATTAAGGGGGATGTTGCCCCATGTAAAAATGTTCCTGCGACTACCGGGGAGGAGATTATACAATATTTGGGTTCATGGAGAACAAAAAGAAAGAAAAGGGTGAAAAAGAACCACGTAGAGCAGCCAAGACTCCTAGGGCCTCATCTGCACAAAGTAATATGGGGTTAGAAGAAGAGGAGGAAGAGGCAGATTCAGAAGAAACAGAGGAAGACGAGAGTAATGCTGAAGAGGTGGATGACTCTGATGATGATGACCTTGAATCTGATACATGTGATGAGGTTTACCCTACTCCTTCCGATGATGATGATGATTGAGGAATGAAGACGCTCGACTCTTGATGTTAACTGTTGAGTCTTAGACTATAGGATCTTTTTCTTATTTTCTAGTTACTAGTTTCTACTATCTAACTCTTGTATGTATGCTTGTATGGTTCTAGCATTGTATGAAAATATGGATTATGGACTATTTAAATTCTCCTTATTCACTTAGGACATATCCAATTATATTCTTATTTTTATGCCGCCAAGGTTCTTAGCAGATGCCAGGCACTTTTTGGAACACTATAAAAGGTAAAGTGATAGTATGGCCATTTCTTATGAAAAGTTGTCATAAGATGTCCATCTTTGTAAAAGTAAAGGTCGCAAGGTGGCACTACTTTGAGTCATGTCCAGCACATGGTATTGTAAACGGGCCCTTAGAATTACAAGGGCGATATTGAGCTGCGAAAGTTCTATAAATAATGTACATTAAATTAAGGATTGGCAAGAATGGTTGTGAAACCCTAGACATTCTCTATTAACTTAGACATGTATGAACTCCACCATAGCACATTAACCCTTGGGCTCGCAAACTTAACACTTTGGCCTTCCAGGGTCCTATTTCCTCTGGTTGGAAGTCTTCATGTGAGAGAAACTTCTAGGTGGCCGCACATCATAAGCTGTAAGACTCTACTAGGCATTCTAGAGTTAGCCATCTCCCTCCTTTCGTCATTCAAAGGATCTCTTGCTAGGCTACCGTAGGCCTAGCATCCAAAGTAAGAATTCAGTGATCCATATTCTCATAGTTTCCACCATTTCACTTTCTGTTCTTTTTTGTCAAATTTGTGTTCCACCTCTCCCCTTCTCTCCTGGTTTTTACTCTTCTCCCTTATACATGTGTGTGTGTTTGTTGCAGACACCCACATATACAATGTATGTATATATAGATATATTAGAAAAGTAGAATATTAGATTAAATTGACATTATCTATATATAATATCTATTTAATATAATATTCTGATTTATCTGATTTAATCCTAGGCTTATTCTAATTTATTACATGTCAAGGAGCGGAAAAGACTGAGAAAACTAGGGAGGAAGAAAGGACAAAAAGGAAGGTGATGAGATGAATCATTTTGACCTACCTAGGGATTATGCCTCTTGCAGCCTA